ATATAGAGCACAATTTTTCATATCTCTGGTTGTATACCAGAAATTAATTTCTTAAAAAAATTTCACAATTTAATTATTTATTCTTATTTTTGAGTATCTGTTTTTTTAAGTTTTGAAAAGAAAACTAATTTTTTTTTTTAAATGGATCTAAACTGGGAGCATCCTTTTAGGAGGGCATTATATGTGATTGCTTTTTATTGTTATAGTAATTAGAGAGGTATGAGGAGATTACTGTGTTTAATGGGGATTAGGAATGATAAATATCCTAAAGTCTTCACAGGACAAATTGTCTGGTGCTTGGAGCCTATCTTGTCCCTTTGGGAAACACTGCCTGCAGGTTTAACTAACATGAAATAACTGTGCCAATAGCACCATCTAGTGAGGGAATTAGGTACCATGCTGAATCTACTTTCCTCACAGAAATGAGAAAATTAAAAATTCTCAACTATGTAAAATAATAAATTATAGACTCAGATTTTTGAAGCAGGAAGGAAATTTAGAGCTAGTATAATTCACCTTCCTCTTTTACTGGTAAGGAAACTTACCAAAGAGGTGAAGTGATTTATCTAATGACATGCTTAGTAGCAAGATCCCTGGCACTTGTTTTCCAGGTTAGTATTTTGAGCCTTAATTACAGAGCACTATCTTTGTGTTTTATTTGGATTACTATCTTAGGTTCTTGAAAAGTTATTCATTTAAGAAGAAAAAGTAGTAAATTAGAACATCTCATTTAATAGGTGTGTTATAAAGTAACTTTTATATGCATACATTATGCCTAATATCTTTTTTGCATTTAATTTTATCACCCAGAGAAATGCATATTCACTTACTTTTTAACTGCTACAATTTAAGCTCTTGAGTGTTGAATTTTATGATAAAACTTTACTGAACATAGAGAAAAATAGGTACGTGAAATTTTATTTAAAACTTTATTGTACTGATTGATGAACTGGAACATTAGCAATCAAAAGAAGCAGAAAACTTGGGCAAAAAAATTTAAATTAAATGAACCTCAAAATAATATGCTCCCACTTCTCCTTTGTGTTGGGACATAGAAAATTTTGGTGTAAATCAAATTTGGTTTTTCTTTTTTAGTGAGAAGCATTAGCAAATACTTTGAATGATTTAGATGAAGCTATCTTGAAACTGTGTCACATTCAGCTGGAAAGGAGAAATTTTAAATTATTTTCTGGAAAAATATCTAGAGAAGTGGGTTACAAAATAAAGTGAGTTTTAGCAAGTGACGCCCGCAGTGGTGTTGGAAAACAGTGAAGCTGTGTGAGTGTGTGAGACTAAAACAAGCTAGTTTCCTGGTAGTTAACAAAAAAGACAATGGTATGCCAATGACACTCATGATGGTCTTAACAGTGGTTATAATAGCAATCAATGGCAGGTAACATTTTCCCACATCTGGACACTGTCTGAATGCATTGCATATGTTATGGGGATCCCTTTAAGGTATAGGTCCTGTTATTATCATTTTACAGGTGCAACTGAATGGTAGAGAACTTAAGTAGCTTGCAAAGATCTCACAGATAGTAAGTACCAGAGTAGAGGTATGTTTGTTTCTAACATGAAACTTTCTTGTTTTAACCCATTGGAAACAATTTTAGTCTTTTGCATTATTGTTTCTAAAATAATGTTCATTTTTAAAATCCGTTTTGGTCCCTTTAAATTTTATCTCGGTTACTTTTCTAGCTCTAGTAATCCAAGTACCCTTCTGCTTCAGTGTTGTCTCACGTGATTATTTTATTTACCACAAGTCTATGTGGGATACAGGAGGGGATGCTAGAATGATTAAGGTGTTAATGAGAGTCAAAATTCAGAACAGCTAATACCAAGATTTAACCTCTTACAGGGAGTGAGGGCTGAACAAGTTTTGTTGGAGAGTCCAATAAATAGAAATAGCAAAATTTGGACACTTTTCAGTTTTATTTTTAAGGAACATTTTGTCTACAAATAGAGTACCAGTAGGCTTCAATGTGGTCTAGACTTGTTATATATTTTTCTCTGTTATTGTTTTGGCATTTGAGAAGTGTTCATACCATAAGAAAAGTTTTTATACTACTTCACTCTTTATGAATATCATATCCCACTGAGTTTCTAACTGAATAGTAGCAAATTCTTTCTCAATAATATGTCCCTTAATGCATATTTATGAATATTGCTACTGTAGTCTAGATTAAACTAGATCCTTCTTCACTTATAAGTGTATGACATCATCACTTATGACCAAACATAGCACCCTCTAACTACTACATGCCTCTGGTTGCTCACCAGGGGGAAGGAGAAGTTGTAATAGTTGACTGTATTCTGGGTTCTGGACTGGATATTTTGCAAGATATCAAATTTTATTATCCTGATGATCCACTGCTTTAATTTCAGTTTTATAAATGAATCTTAGACTCTTGGAGACTGAATTTTTGGTTCACAGGCACAAACTCTGGCACCAGATTACTTAGGATCAAATTGTGGCTCTGTCTAACTAGCTTTGCAAACTTCACCAAGTTATTACTTAACATCTGTGGCCCTTGGTTTCCTCATCTGCTCTTTAAAAAGGGGGTAATGATAGTACTTATCTCATAAGATTGATATGAGGATTAAGTGAGTTAATATAGTGAGTTAATGTTTATAGTATCATTAGTATAATACCTTGCACATGGTGTCATATAACTGATTATTACTTAAAAGAATAACTGGTATTTTGAACCCAAATGTTTTTGGTTCTAAAACCAATGGTCTTTTCATTAGCCCAGTTTTCTGCCTTACAAAACATTTCACTGAAACACATTACTTGTGTTTCTCTGATTGGATGTAGTCATTACTGATTCTGTTTTAAGAAGGAAAAGTTGTCTAGAAAGTCTTATTCTTTCTTTCTTTGTTTTCATGTTTGATGAACACAAGTTCCTTATATTTGCTATTATTTTTGTTAATAAGGGACATATTATTGAGTTAGGCTTATACGTGAGTTAGGCTTATGATGAAGAGCATATTTACTTAAAAAATGTTTTCACTTGGTGTATAGTTGTGTCTCTTTCTCTTTTGTAGTAAGAACATTTAACACAAGATTTACCGTTTTAGGTAGTCTAGCTTGTACCATTGCCCTAGTGTTCCCTGTGATGAGAGGCCAGAGTGTGCTCCTTGGGAAGCTTCTGGGAGTATTAGGGAAATTGGATAACTACTGCAATGCTCCTTTCCCTTGTAATACCTGTGGGCCCAGGGAAATCTGTCTTGTATTGGGCAAACTTGGGGGAGGCAAAGGGGTGAGACCATTTTGCCATTCTAGTTCAGATTTCATTCAATTCTGCAGAGTGCACTGGTATCTCAGGCTTGTTTCTAAGTGTGAGTGTTTTCAGAAGGATGTTCCAAGCAAAGTCTATTGAAGTATCATCTTACAGTTTTCAGTATTTCATTTGTTTTTTTGTTTTGTTTTGTTTTGTTTTTACCCTATTAGCTAAGCTGTGCTTTATAAAATGATATGATTTCAATTGGAGCTCTTTCAAGTCACTGTATATTTTTATGAATTATTTTAGATTACCTTACTTGTTTGTCTCTGTCTCAGATTGTATTTATATTATGACTGTGATGCCCTGCTATTGACAGATATATTCTTGTAGGTATTTGAAATTCAGCCATAAATATTTTTGTGTATATATGTTATATAATATATATATCACACACATATATTACAACTTGTGCATTGATAGATATGTATATATATATAAAACATAGGTTATATATTTATATGTTTGATATATGTATTCATCTGATATATTCCAGTTTATGCACACATATACATGTCTATCCATATCTGTGCAGTAGGAAGGTCTTCATTATTGTTCTTTAAATATTGGATAAAATTTACTTGAATTTCAAAATTTTACTTGAATTTCAAATTATTTTTTCCTAAATTTTCTCAGCATTTGAAATGGTATTTGATAAGTATTGATGTAGCATCAATGTAGATGACTTGTATTAGCATGTGATGTACCACATTTGCCTCTTTGGGTGTCACAGTCACACTATTTTAAGAGTTTTTGAAATCACATTTTCATCAATATAATATTTTTTTCTTTGTTTTAATCAAAAGTAAAATATTTGGAAAATAGGTAATCACTTATTTTTCAGTTCTTCTAGAGAGAATGTTAAGAAATGTGAAGAAATTGAACAGGCTTATGAAAATATTTATTGTTACCTTATGGAGGATTTAACAATAATTTTTGTTACATTTTAATATACTTCAGAAGTAAAATTTTTATTTCTTCTTTATCATCAGATACCTCATTTATACTCTTAGGGGAACTACTAACAACAGTTTTTAAAGTAGCCTTCCAGAAATATTCTGTTTATATTCAAGTATGTGTATGTAGGTATGAGGGTATGATGGAATTGTATGTGTACTCATTGTATATAAGATATAAGATCCATATATATGTCCTTTAAAATACTTTGTAAAGATATTCTGAATGACTTAAATATATTCTTTCTCACATACATTAAGGAAAAGTAGATAAGTTGATGTACATTAAAATATATAACTGTCTTTTGTTTCTGCATGCTTATTTGAAATCTTGTAATTGTTCTAGTGGTATAGATTAGGAGTGAATTATCTTTAGTGTAGTGTAATAACTTTTTATATGTTAAAACATAAAAATTTAAAAATTTATTTTTATATAAGTATAAACATTTTCATTTGTATAGAGATTTTACCCTTAGTACATATTCTTATTATCCATCATACTGAGAATAGTAGTTTATCTTTGGGGAGTTAGGTATTATTGTGAATGTTGTGTTGGGCAGGGAGTAAAAAGGGACAGTGGCAGTCTCTTTATTTCTATAATATCATAGTATTTGAATTTTTAAAGTCAATGAACATATTCTGCTTTTATTAAAATGGTGGTAGAAGATGTTTTAAAAACATATAGTGACATAAAGGTACATTTTTAAAAAATGTCCTCATAACTAAGTTCATTGTGTGCTTTTATTAATTTTGGTTATAGGCTTGTGTGGATGTAAGAGCCAGTTCAGTGTTTTGGCAGCAGATGGAGTTTGCAGATAGCCTCCAAGGTCATCCCAAGTTACCGGAATGGTTATCTACACATCCTTCTCATGAAAACCGAGCTGAACAATTGGATAGGCTCATACCACAGGTCAGCTAACACTGTACAAAGCAGGAAATTATTTTTGCTCTATCACTTGTCATTAATGCTGTTATTTCTTTTGCATAGATAAAGAAAGTTCTAGCATGTCAACTATTTGTTTATTATGATTATGGATTATCAATTTTTAAGGAATTGGGCTGAAAAGTATAATCCTGCATGTCCACAGTCGTGGGGAGAAAATTGCTCTGTTAGTTGACTTTTGTCAGTGGTGAAGACAATCCTTTAGTGTGCGACTTTTAATTTTAACTGATTTGATAAAAGTTTAAAACTAAAATTTAAAATTAATATGTGTGTGTATGTGTGTGTGTGTGTGTATGCACACATACATATATACACTACCTTGGTTATAATTTAAGTTTTCCTTGGTGATATAAGCTTTTTGTTAAAAATACCAGTAATTTTATTTTGCTGTATATGGATTTCCAGTTTTCCCAGCATCATTTGTTGAAGAGACTATCTTTTCTCCAATGTATGTTTTTGGTGACTTTTTCAAATATAAGATAACTGTAATTATGTGGGTTAGTCTCTGTATCCTGTATTCTGTACCATTGGTCTACAAGTCTATTTTGGTGCCAATACCATGCTATTTTTGTTACTATTGCTCTGTAGTGTAGATTAAGGTCTGGTATAGTGATGCCACCTGCTTCACTTCTTCTTGGTAAGAATTGCTTTAGCTATTCTGAGTCTCTTATTTTTTCAAATGAATTTCATGACTGCTTTTTCTATTTCTATGAGGAATATCATTGGAATTTTGATTGAAATTGCATTAAATCTGTATAATGCTTTTGGTAGTATGGTCATTTTGATAATATTAATTTTGCCTATCTAAGAGTAAGGTAGATCTTTCCATCTTCTAAGGTCTTTTTAAATTTCTTATTTAGCGTTCTATAGTTTTCATTGTAGAGGTCTTTCACCTCTTTCATTAAGTTTATTCCCAAGTATTTTAATTTTTTTGAGGCTATTGTAAATGGGGTAGTTTTCCTCATTTCCCTTTCAAAGGATTTGTCACTGATATACAGAAATGCCTTTGAGTTATGGGTATTGATTTTGTATCCTGCTACTTTGCTGAGTTCATTTACTAGTTCTAGAAGTTTTTTCATGGGATTTTTTGGATCTTCTAGGTATAGACTTTCTCATCATGCACAAAACTCAACTCAAAGTGGATCAAGAACCTAGGAATTAAACCAGAGACATTGCATCTATTAGAAGAAAAAGTAGGCCCAATGTTGGATTAGGCCCCAGCTTTCTTAATAAGACTCCTGTAGCATAAGAATTAATATCAAGGATCAATAAATGGGATGGATTCAAACAAAAAAACTGTTTCTCAGCAAAAATCAGTGAGGTGAATAGAGAGCTACAAATTGGGAACAAATTCTTACCACACATATATCATTAGAGCACTAATTTCTAGAATATATAAAGAACTTAAAAATCTTAACCAACACCAAAAACAAACAAACAAAAAAACAAAACAAACAAAAAACAACCCAAATAGCCCAATCAATAAATGGGCTAAGGAACTTAACAGACACTTCTCAGAAGATGATATACAATCAGTCAACTAATATATGAAAAAAATGTTCAACATCTCTAGCAATTAGAGAAATGCAAATCAAAACTACTCTAAGATTTCATCTCATTCCAGTCATAATGGCAGCTATTAAGAATATAAACAATAAGTGTTGGCGAGAACGTGGGGAAAAAGGCATACTCGTACATTGTTGGTGGGACTGCAAATTGGTACACCCAACATGGAAAGCAGTATGGAGAATCCTTGGAAAACTGGGAATGGAACCACCATTTGACCCAGCTATCCTACTCCTCGATCTATACCCAAAGGGCTTAAAAACAGCATACTACAGGGACACAGCCACATCAATGTTTATAGCAGCTCAATTCACATTAGCGAAACTATGGTCTGCTTCCCAACTCATACATGACTGTCTTCTATTGGTAATCTCACACTGTGGAAGAAGCAAGGGAATTCTCTGGAATATCTTATAAGGATACTAATCCCATTCAAGAGGGCTTCATTCTCATGACTTACTTACTTCTCAAAGGCCTCAACCCCTAGCACCATTTTGGAATTTCAACATACGAATTTTTAGGGACATGATTATTTATGATATTTGGTTATTTACTCTAACCAAATTCCATTTATATTCTTAATTTAAAGAAAAGTTATTTGAGAAATTCCAGTAAAATGTACCAGGTATAATGTATGGTAATCATTTATCATAAAAGGGCAATATAGACCTAGTCTCATCAGTTACTGATAATACTGAGGTTCATTGACTGTAAGAGACTCTTCAGTGCTACAAGATCCAGGGACCTGTGGTTCCTTAGGCATCCTGTCTCTAAAACCATAATAAACTAAGATTTCTTTTGGAAATTCCCTTCTTTTTATTTACATCCAGTGAAATTCTTAAAAAAAAAATGTGATTTATTTAAATGGACAAACTTTGATTAGAAGCCTTTCCTAAATTCTGAGTTGTCATTTCATCAGATTACTGAGGATCTTCAGAGAGGTTAAAAAAAAAAATGTGCTTTAATTTTTTTTTAAAGTAATGAGTTGATTCTTAAGTGTGGGAAAAAATGGTTGGAGAAACTAATATTATTTTGAAGCCAATGATGAAGAAAAACATGGGAGGTATTTTTCTTCTAAAAATAAACTATCCCAGTTCATAAACTTAATTTGAAAACCTCAGATACATTTCTTATATTTCCCCCCCAAGTGATTAAATTCAATTTGAAAGCAATAAAACTCTATTGCAATATTGGGAATAATTCAGTGGTTGAAAAGAAACTGATAGTTAGTATACGGGTATATTGTTAATTAGAATACAAAGTCATAACTCAAAGATTCTAATTCTCTACTATCATAGGTCTAATTTTTATAATGAAAAAAAGCAATTCTTCAGGCAGTGTGTGGAATTATGTGAGTCTATACACTACTAAAGACAGTATTTTAAATTCCTATTTCATTTAGGATTTTTTTTTTCCTACTCAAATGAGTATAATATTATATTTTACCTTAGCCTCCTGTCCTTGGATGTTGCTGATGTTATGGCTAGTGATACATGTCTCAAAGGTAGTTGGGACATTGCATAGACATGTCTAGGCCGGAGGCAATGGCTTCAATGTCACTCAAAAGAGGTGATAGTTGAAGCAGTGAGAGTGGATGAGTTCACCAAGGAACTGATAAAGACCAAGATCTAGAACAGAGTAGCACCAGGAGTAGTTATTTTCTGTATTTAATTGGTCAGAAGAAGACAGAGCCTGTTGTGGGTCAGATTCATAGGAGGAGAACCAAGAAAGCAAGATTTTGTGGTTCTATGATGAGAATACAAATTTTGGTAATTTTTACTTTATTCATTTAAATTACTGACAGTTTAAAATTTTTCTTTTTGGATTCCTTGAATATCATTACAAATATGTATTATTTGTTACAATAGTATGTATTTATATATTTAAGATGTGAATTTGTTTTATATATTTAGCAAATATTTATTGATCACCTATTATGCACTGTGTTGTAGGTGTTTTAGGTCATGTAAACTAGACAGAAATCTACACCTTCATAAAGCTTATTATACAAAGGGGAGACAGACAATAAATAGGGGAGGTAGGGTCTCTCTGGTGTCTCTTTTTGAGAAGAACACTAATTCTGTTGGATCAGTTCACCCTAAATTTAATTTAACCTTAACATACCTCCTGTAGGCCCTATCACCAAATATGTACACACTGAGGGTTAGATATGAGTCTTGGGGGGAAACACTTCATTCTTTAGCAGACAGACAGTGTGTGAGCAGAGATAGGATGGGGTGCTGGAATAGCCCTTTAAAACGGGGTTAGAGAAGGTGCCTCTATGAGGACTCTGGTTTCTTCTCAGAGATGGGTTGCTCGTAAAGAGTTTTGAGCAGAGAATTGGAGGAGTGACAAGTTCTAGCAGATGCTTGGAAGAATGTGATTTACAGCTTCCACAGAGCAGTACAATTTTCATATAATTTTGGAGTACTTTAGCATAATATATTGTTCAGAAAATAAAATAGTTCCTTTCCTGTTTTGTTCAAAAATTGAGATAATGCTTCCAAATAAGAAAAAAATCCTTGCTACTTTTTAATGTAAATTCTGAGATAAAACATGTATAAATGTGTATTTAAATATAATCCTGTGATCCACTAGCATTTAAAAAGGATAAATATAGGTTTGTAGTAATAATATTATTTGTGGTTAATAAGCTGATAAGCTATAATTTTATTTACTTGAAATAATCAGTTAAATTTAGGAAACATATCCCACATATTTTGGTTACCATAACAACTTGGGTGAAAAATTGAAGAACAGATGTTGTATCAACCTGTTGATGTTTAATAGTGTGACAGTTTTAAAATTATAGTTATACTGTTCAGACTTTAAATTCATGTACATCATAATTTGTCCTTGAAAGAGATACCCGTTTTTTCAATAAGAATTTTTATAAAATATGAGTGGACATAAGTAAGTTAAATTTACTTAAATATTTATTTTAAAACCAAACATTTAATAGATATTTTTGTTCTCTACGTCTTTATTTTTTGTTCTTTTTTGTTCTTCTCTATTTCTTATACTTTCCTTCCCCCTCTTTCCCTCCCATTCCTTCTTTGGGAGGTACAGGGAATGGAGGATGATAAAATGTGTAGGAGAAGCATTTGAGGATTATTTGATTATATATTGATTATTATATTATATATTGATTATATATTGATTATTATTTGAGGATTATTAATTATATTTTATTATAATTAATGTCATAATCATAATTTGAATAAGATTTATTTTTAAACATTTTTAGAGCTTTCAGTGCCAGCTTTATTTGTTAACTGTTTTTAAAATCTTGATATTCATGTTCAATTTTTAGGTATCAAAATCACTCAGTAGCAGACTGTAAATGCATTCATTTTAATCTCATTTTATTTTGAATCCTTTAAACTTTCAGGAAGCTAGGG